TCATGTCTCGATTCAGAACACCAATCGAGTCAAGGTCGGAATAAAGTCAACCACAGAACTCAATGACCTCTTCTGCTCCATAGCCCTTGGCGATGCTTCCTTCAGGGCGAGCATGGTTGTGAACATATTTCTTCAGACTCCATGAATCTCTCTAAGGGGAACATGTTGTGTAGGAACACAGACCGAGAGTGAAAATCTCCTTGACTAGGTGAACTAGGAGGTGTGTCATAATATCAAAGAAGGAAGGAGGAACACCAACTCAAAGTCGACGAGACATTGAACCACATCATTCTATAGTTTAGCTAAATCAGTTGGATCAATTGCCTTCTGAGAAATTGCATTGAGGAATGCACATAGCTTCACGGTGGCTAGACGTACATTTGAATGCAACTGGAAGTAATTGCGTCATGAGAACGTGATAGTCATGGGACTTTAAGTTGCGAATTTCTTCTCGGCACATTTATAATACCCTTTATATTCGAGGAGAATCCAGATGGTACCTTGATGTTGTTTAAGCATTCAAACATGATTTCCTTCTCCTCTTTGCTTAGAGTGTAGTGGCAGGTCCCAAAATATGGACTTCTTCTTCCACATAGGTAAAGTGACCGTTAGCGTGTTCGAACAGGTTGGCTTCCATGTCCTTTTCAAAAGACGACTTTCACATCATTGACCATATCGAGTACATCCTCACCGGTTCGGGCTTATGTAGGCTTGGTCGTGGTCTCTTCCCTTTAAAATGCTTGCCTTTCTTTCTTACGGGTGATTTGCGGAAGAAATCGACGATGGCCAAGGTACACGACCTTTCGACATTTTTTCAAGAATACACCTCTAATATCACCGAAACAAAGTGTGCATGCATTATATCCCTTATTTGACTGTCTCCGAAGATTACTTAGAGCAGGCCAATCATTGATTGTTACGAACAACAATGCTCGCAGATCAAAGTGTTCCTGTTTGTACTCATCCCACACACGTACACCTTCTTTATTCCACAAAATGAGAAGTTCGTCAATAAGTGGTCTCGTGTACACATCGATGTCATTGCCGAGTTGCTTCGGCCCTGGATGAGCACATGCATCATAATAAACTTCCGCTTCATGCATAACCAAGGAGGAATATTGTAGATACTTAGAGTAACAGTGCCAAGTGCTATGACTACTGCTCGCTCTCCAAAAGGATTGATACCATCCGCATTTAAAAGTAAACCTTAAGTTTCTTAAGTCATTTGCAAACTCCGAATTCTCTCGTCGATTGCTCTCCACTTTGGGACCCATCAGCAGGTGTCTCTCAACATATTGTCTACCTTACGGTCTTCTTTGTGCCATCGCAACAATTTTGCATGTTCTTTGTTTCACGAGCAGACGCTTTCAAGCGTGGTATTATAGGAGCATACCACATAACCTTGGCAGGATTTTCTTCCGTGGACGTTAAGCCCTCAACATCACCAGGTCATCATCTCGCCGATCTTATACCGCATGACGCATGGCATACCGGCATGCATCCAATTTCTCGTACTCTTTGCCACGATGCAGGATGCACGGTCATTAGGACATACATGTATCTTCTCTATTTCTAGCCCCATAGGACGTATACAACTTGTTTTGCTTCAGTAGGTAGTGGCGGGCAATTCATTGTCCTTCGGAAGCATCTTCTTCTTTTGAATTTTAGTAACTCTCCAAATCCCTTGTCGATACACCATTCTTTGCCTTCCATTGCAGCAATTCTAGTGTGGTTCCCAACTTTTTCGCCTGGATCACAAGTTGGGTACAACAATTTCTTGTGATCTTCTAGCATCCGCTCGAACTTGATCTTCTCCTTTTCACTTTCACATTCTCTTTGTAAATCGTCACGAAATGACTGAGAAAGATCATCACCGGCTCATCTTCTGCGGCTACCTCTTCTTCAACTTCTCCCATTGCAAGATCATTGAAGCACGCACCATCGGGAATAATATCATTGTCGTCCCATTGTTCTTCTTCACCTTCTTCCATTACAACACCGGTTTCTCCGTGCTTTGTCCAACAAATATAGTTTGGCATGAAACCCGACTTGAACAAGTGTGAATGAAGAGTCCTTGAGCAAGGATATTTCACCGTATTCTTACATATGGCACATGGGCAAACATATGAAACCGTCGCGTTTGTTTGCCTCGGCCGCCGCACGTAACAAAGAATGCACGTCGTCAATGAACTCTTGGGAGCGGCGATCAGCATTATACATCCAATGATGGCTCATCTGCATTACATGACATAAATACCATATTAAAACCTAGATCATAATTAATTATTTATACAACATGCGTGCCACCACAAAAGATACAAATTTATAAAAGTATCGCTACAATGTAGACAATCCCAACTACCACTAAAAGAACTAAAGCTAAAATACATTTCAAAGAGCACTAGGATTTCACGACCAATCTTAACTAAAACAGATGAGATCCCCGATTGTAACATCTTTGGGCTTCTTCTACTGGATCACCGCCTCATTAGCCGATTCGTGTCACATTGTGTAAGATATTTTTGCACGAGTTCAACATACTCTTCCTCCCAAAGAGAAGCCCGAACATCGCCCACCGTCATCCCACTGAAATTAAAACAAAAATTAGAACTTTAATCACAACCATCATGAAAATAGGTATAAACTAACCATAATCATTAAATACGATAAAATAACTCACATTGCGATCCGGACACTTGTAGAAGATACGATCCTTGTTGGGACCCTCCTTCTTTACTCGGTACTCCATCACAATCTTCGTCTCATCACGACACTTACCGCATGGAATGAGAGGGAGGCCCGGCCTAAGTCGCTTTGGAAACCCAAGAGAGGCCAAGGACCCGGAAGCAGTTGCCATCTACTCTCTATACTCATTTTTTAATACACTATAAATTTCTCCTTTTATAAACAAATAAAATTAAGAAACTATAAAATTATCTAGATCTCTAAACAATGATATTTTTAATGGTCATTGTGTTCTCGCTTTTTATCATGGCGGTAAGTAATTCACATGATATTTCCGCAAATTAACAGAAGAATGGGAGTGTACACACATAATAGACTACTGCGATGATATCGGGACGTGTGAATAAATAACCATCCGTACTAGTTGACCTTGCTTACGTGATCATCTCGGCGAGCATTTCTCCACCGGACGGCACCGTACTTGGCCACACTCCATTTTCTCGTCAGAGAACGTGCTCGCCGAGATGAACACGGTCCGCAAGTTCAACTAGCTACTTTAACCTTATTTCATGTAAATATGCAAGCTTGAAGTGATTTTGAGCTCAAATTGCTTACAAATGAAAAAAAACCACAATAAAGAACCATATATATATATAGTGAACAAAATGAGATAAGACAATGATAAAAATGAGAGTATGAGATTGGTAACCTTTACAACCAAGAATCGACGGAGGAATCAAGAAATCGACGAGAAATCGAATAATGGATGGAGGAACAATGGAGGGAGGGATGAAGCAAGAACACTAGTGCAGTGAGCTTCAAAATATGCTGAGCTCGGGGAGGAAGAAGGAGACGATCGGGATATAAAGGGGGACCTTTAGTCCCGGTTGGTGGCTCCAACCGAGACTAAAAGTAACTTTCCAACCCCGGACGCAGCCACTGCCCGGGAGTAGACCTTTACTCCCGGTTGGAGCCACCAATCGGGAGTAAAAGTATACCTTTAGTTTCGGTTGGTGTCTCCAACCGGGACTAAAGGTCCCTGCCACCTCTGTCTGGCGCATTAGCCGTTGGGGCAGGGACCTTTAGTCCCGGTTGGAGACACCAACCGACTAAAATATTTCAAGTCCCGGCGCAAAAATTTCGGGACTAGAGCCAATTTTAATCGAGGATCAAATGTCCATTCTCGAATATGTGTTCGTTTGAAAATGAAGAAAAAAAAATTATGTTTGTGTTCTCTGAACTCCTTCGGGAATCAGGAGTGCTAGTTGGCATAAAAAAAACGCTAAATCTATGCGGCACTCGGGTGTTTTAAGCGCTCGTCTCACTCGATCACTCGATCTTGCTGGCCGTCCGATGTCGAGCCATCGACGGAGACGAGCGGTCAAGGCCATCAATTCGTGGTCTGTTTCCTAAACTACAGGAGGACCCGTGACAGGTGCATGTGGCAGCTTTAGGCGCATGCTGATCCATGGTTCTGCGGGTGCATGCTGACCCGTGGTGCAGGTTGGTGCAGGTGGATGCTTTGGTGTGGTCCTGAGACGTCACATCACCATACATGTATGTAGATTTAGTTTTTTAATAGGACAAGATTACGTCTCATTGCACCATATTTTTACTATTTCTGTTTGGGTGTAAATTCTATGTTTAATTGGTGGAAATTGACTACTTATGAATAAGAATGGTCAGAATTACTCGAACAATTATCTGATTATTTTTTGTTTTTTTTTTGTATGTTTTATTTGGTTTCCCTTTGAAATTTTCTAAGGTAGTTTCCATAGAAATAATCTAGCTAATCTTTTTGTTTTGTCTATTTAATATTTTGCATTGTTTTTATAATTTTTTTTTGTTCATTTGATCTGGATCTAATGGTCATGAGAATCAAGTGTTGAATGGATCAAAAACACCTGATGCGCCATCCTACACTCGAGTGTCCAAGGCCCCTGGGACACCCGACCGCTGACTAGATAGACCACGGCAGGGGACACTCATAAACACGATACCATACCATATATATAGAACCAGGTACACAAGCTTATTTGGCATACACATGCAGAATCTAACGAGCAAACACATGCAGTACTATGACATATATGATTATTACACCAGGCAGCAAATGTCTCGTAGCAGGGAATCTAAGTCGCCATCAGCACCGTCGATCGTCCGGTTGATTGGTACTGTTGAACACCAACATCGTCCTTTCCTGAACCAAAAAAACAGAATCTGATAAGGAACAGAAAGCTGGTGAGTTGGTGATGAATTCAGATGCTTACAAGTTACTACAACTGAGTAGGAGTACAGCTGATAGCTAGGGCATGTCAGAAAACAGAGCCGTCGACGGGGAAGTCGTCGAAGCTCCACAGCCTGACGCCGTTCATGTCGGTGTTCACTTCCTGCTGCACGGCCTCTGCGGCGAAAAGGCCGTCCAGGGAATCGTACTCGTACCCGCCCGAGTAGGTCATCTGCAGTAACATAAATGGATCCAACGCCAGCTCGTGAGCGAGCTCTAGCGCGGAGCCACCGCCTCTGCCGGCGAAGGAGCTCTCCATGGCCGGCGGCGCGGCGGGGAAGGTGGGGAAGGTCATGTCGAAGAAGCTGCCCACGTCGAAGGAGTCCATAGCTTCAGGCTTCACGGCAATCCCTTCCTGCCTCTGCTTCTCTCCTGGAAGCAGCAGAGCGGGCTGTGCTACTGCTGCAGCACCAGGGTGCTGCGGTTTCGGCGCGGTTCGTGGGTTGCCGCGGCTTGCTCCGGGGAAGTTGAGCTTGGCCTTGCTGCCGCGGAGGCGGCGGGCCTCGACGTCGTAGGCCCGGGCGGCGTCCTCGGCGGTATTGAAGGTGCCGAGCCAGACGCGGGTGCCCTTTTGCGGGTCGCGGATCTCCGCCGCCCACTTGCCCCAGGGGCGCTGCCGGATGCCGTGGAAGGGGCGGCGGCCTCGCTTGTTCTGGCTCCTCGCCGCCCGCGCAGCGCGCCCGTCGTCGTGGGCTATAGTATACACAAGAGTTCTTTCCCTTGAGATTACACTAGCATGCAGTTCTTGCCAACGTCATGCCCAAATAAACCCAAGGACGCGCGTGAACATTCTGTCCATACAGATTACAACATTTGCACCTTGATATGAAAGAGAAACAATCGATGTTGGTTACCTGGGGAGAAGGCGGATTTGGAGGAGAACACCAAGTGGTCCTCGTCGTCTTCAAGCACGTCGAAGTCGTCGTTGAACTCCTCGAAGGCGGCCTCAAAGTCATCGTCGGCGTATTCGTTGTGGTGCCTCTTGTCCCTACCGCTGCCGGCTTTCTTGGAGCTCGCCGGCCAGAGGTGGCCTTCAGTCACCGGCTTCGATGCCACGCACCGCGTTGGCGGGATCAGCTCCGCGAGGATGGCGCCGCCGCACATTGTTCCGTGTGTATTTACTGAAGCTTTTCTTGATGCCATGAAGGTTGCCGGCGGAAAGAGGAGATTTATAAACCAGCTAGGACCGTTGGTGGATGACTTGGCATGGTGACTACCAAGATATGCCACATGCCACGTGCATAGCGCATCAGCTTACTGGATGGCACGGTGCATTTTGATGCCACGTGGTCAGCCACGATGCGTCCCCTTTCGTTTTTACTGTGGTCAGCCACGTTGATGCCACGTGGTCAGCCACATGTAGCAGGGACTACCGTCGTATCCAGTATATCGCCCTGAAAATTACCTGCAAATACGTATGAGACTTAGCCTTGTTAAAGACCACACATAATTCTTATTCGACCATAAGGCCCATCAGATAGCTGAAGTCTGTTACAAAATCTGGTTTCGAGGCTTAGGACAAAAGCCATTTAGCCACGAGTCAAACATATTAGAGAAACTGGTGGGTGGTTGAATTCCAAATGTGATGCGCTGCATTCCAAACAAACTTCGGAAAATGGCAATTAAAGAAACAAATGTTGAATAGTCTCAACAGCACTACAAGAACAACATTTGGCACTTCCTTGTCAGTTGCTTTTTGCCAAGTTGTCCTTAGTAAGTGTAACTCCTTGTAAGTACCAAAGGAAAATCTTGATTTTCAGTGGTACTCTTAATTTCCAAAATTGGGCTTTTAATCGGGAGGACTCCTTGCTTAATCATAGTCCTACACATAGACCGGAACGTTAACAAGCTATTCTTCTTTCTTACAAGTCATACCAAGAGTTGAGATTTTCATTCACTAAACCCTTCTAAATGATACTTGGTACAGTCCCTAGAACATTTGCCACCATACCATCCTTCTTCCATACAATTCTGTAAAGATTACTTAGGCTAAGCATGTATTACGTACCGTTGCTGATTACTTTAGCACTAATGGGAGAATCGTTCTACTGCTCAGGCTCCTGCTATTGGAGGAGCATCTTTTATTGCTGTTTGTCAGTTTGTGCCACTTGTTCTCCAACTATCTAGGCAAGTGTGCCTTACCTACCGGTTCAGCCCTCCTCGTCGCTCCTCGTACCAGAGCCGTGGCGAGTGCCGACCATCCTGAGCAACCTGTGACGGACCCCACTTGGCCATCATCAATGATAAACTTTGGAAAGGACGACGGCGAGCTAACATGGTTTACCTTGTAGACTGTATTCTTGTTTCACTGCACTAGCCCGTGTTGTTGATTACTCGAGCAATGATGTCACGGTCACATGACAGCAACTATCGTTGGTCGTACGTCACACCCAGGACACATGAGCTAATAAGGGATTAGACTAGTTTATTAAGCGCGTCTCTATCATAGTGCAGTTGGCGCTTTGACTAGTTTATGTATCTCGAATGGCAAGTTTAGTGTTCCTATGTTTGGGTGTGGCTTGTGCTGACCACGTTCCGCTTACCTGGACGAAGCACGAAATAATATACTTCCTCCTTTCTATAACATGGTCGGTGTTATGATTAAGAATGATCTTCAACAAGTGAGTCTTGACCGTTGGTTCTTCTAGTAGCATATATGATTAAAGAAAATTCCTTATTTGACTAAAAAAACTTGTTCTTCCAAATTTAACACCTAAACTTGAAATCTTCTTTTTTTATCTAGCATCTCTTCAAATTTTTGTTCCTAAACTAACGCTACCGTGAGATGAGACACACAACACCGTTAAGCTCCATTGTGAAAGCACATTTTGCCCTCTGATTGTTCAGCTATTTTTTTAGCGATTTCCTTTTTCTAGGCACATGAACAGCATGCAAAATTTTTTTGGGCTGTGGATGTTGGATCTTGCCGGCATGTGCCTACATGGGCGGGCCATGGAGGCCTCGCTAGGGGGTCTGCCGGGTGGCCTCGGGTGCTAGGATGGGGGCACACGAGGTGGCCGCAGGGGGCGCGCCGGGGTCGCGCGAGGTCACGCAGGGGTCGCGTGTGGTGCAGGTTGGCCGCGGAGGCTATGCCGAGGCCTCACGCGGTGGCTGTGGCAGCCACACTAGGGATGCCCATGGCAGGGCTGCGCAGAGTGCCCGCAGCGGCGGCGCAAGGGCTGCGCTGCATAGCGCCGCCACCAACCATGGCCACTTAGGGTTATGATGCTAGCCTTGCGTGCGAACATCCAAGTTTCAGACTCGATTTCTATATTAAGAAGACAGGGCATTCTCGTCTATGTGCATGTAACCTGTCGGGGTTATAACCCCAGGGTATCTCAGGGCACCGATTAGTTGACAGGCCACGCGGCCCACAACTCGTCAGTCGGCAAAGGCCCGAACGACCAAGGCCCATCGAAAGCAAAGCGGAGCGGGCCGGGCGCCAAGATCGGGGTCATCTCTGACCCCTTCCACCCGCCTTAGCCACACGACGCTCGGAAGGGATGTGGGAGGTCGAGCGTAGCTAAGCGCGTCTGCTCTGACAAGAGCATGCACGCCACACTGACCCCGCAAGGACCGAGGGGACAACGCTCACCTCGGCCCAGTCCAACACCATCCCTGTGCCATGCCGCACCGACAAGACAACACCGTACCACGGTGGCAACGGGTATGATACCCACCGTCCAAATACTGAGACCGACTAGACGCTTGTATGATCCCACCCACTATGGGATGGGATCCACGACAAGTGGCGCCACAAAAAGGCCATCCAGACCAGCAGGATGCCCCGACCACGAAGATCGAGGTCGAGGCCCTCGGCCCCGCAAAGCGACCAAAGCGATCGACGATCCAGGGCAACTACCTACTGTGGGTACGATGCCCTTGGGAACCAGGAGACAATGACGAAGGCCACGACAGACACCGTGTTGCACAGGACAGCTGACGAACCACCAACGAGGCTATAGTGCCACCATGGTCACCACAGTAGCGCCACGCCATGCCCTGCCGCAACGTGGCCAGAATACCATGACGATAGCAATGACCGAACGAGCACCAGAAGACAACGTAGCTTGCAAGCCAAGTTAGCTAGGCCGTCCCTCAGGCTCTTGACCCCTCGGTCAGGAGAACCACCTCTTTGTACAAGCCCTGGCCCCGAACTCTATATAAGGGCAGCCAGGGCACCAATCTTAACACGATTCACACCCTCTACCATTCCATTCATTCACCATTGTAGTAGGGCTCCTGGAGCTTCCCTTCGGGCAGCCCTTCGCCTAGCATAGGCCCTTCCATCTCTTTCACCATTCTTGCACCACCCATTATAAGAACTTCAGAGCATTCTAGCGAGGAACACGCACTCAATCATCTCTAAGACTAGACATATGGCTTCAGCCTGAACCAGTATAAATCATCTTGTCTATTGGATGCTACCATCGTCTTCCTAGAGCAAATGCGACAATCGTATAAATTTACTAGTCCGATTTACAAAACACAGAGATAGTTGGCGCGCCCGAGATAGGGGACAATCCACGCACTCTCATTTGTTGAGAAGGAAGCGATGGCTCCTTACCTTGCACCGCCGGTGAACTTCGGCGGTGGAATGGCCCACATGGGCACATCCGCTTGCAAAAACTATGAGTTCATCAACATCAAAGGGCCAAGACTGCAACCACCCACGGCTATGACCCAAACCTCTACCATAGAGATCCGGGACATCTAGCCCGCAATGGATACACTCTCGAATCGCCTCGGTGGCACCATCCTCGAGTTCACCTACCCAAAGGGGCGGTACCCTTAGCGACCACTCGGCGCGTCCGAGCCTCCCATTCGAAACCAGAGGTCCACGGCTGCAACGAACTCACCGGGAATGGCCTCAACCAGCCACATCCTTTTAGGGAAACCACGCGTTAACCGCACCCAAGGGACGATGCCCGTCCCCCCTCGATTGTGACCCGAACCTCCATCCCGTGGTCTAGATCCCACGGTCCATGGCGGACACACTCTCGAGAACTGCCCTAGGGTGCGCATCTCGGAGTGCACCTATGCTAGGGGCCCAAAGCCCTCTCATTCTCGGCCATGGCCGAGACCTCCACCCGGAGACCAGATGGCCATGGCTCACGGTGACCTCACCCAAGGAATCGCCGCGCGATGGCCACATCCTTTTCGAGAACCGCGAGATCGCTCGAACCAACGGGTCAACGCCGTCATCCGCTCCATACCTGTCCCGCACCGCCAGCGTGGCAAAACTGGACCCTACAAGAGAATCACTCCTCGGACAAATACACCTCCAGTGAAAACACAATGAACCGTGGCGCACAAACGATGAAACTACTCGCCACCACATGGCGTTGCCGTTAGTGATCAAGCGACTAACCGGCATCATGCCACACAAGGTCAAGCCCGGGACCAGGATGCAATCCTACATCGCGGGCAAGCCATACGACACGTCTCCATGGGCTGCCACCTGTTGCATGGAGGCGCGTGCACCTGAGGAAGCGGGCTCCCTGAGCGCGCCACGTGCCGTGACGAGCGGACCGAACCGCGCTGCGCTCGAAGCCATCTCCCACAGCAATAGGTTACTATAGTCCCCTATTGGGAACGACAACCACACGCGGAGCGAGAAATGTGATGACAGTGACGTTGTCGTGCCAGGAGGACTCAGGCACCAGTATGCACGAGCCCACCCAGCTAGAAGTTACAACAAGCTGGATGCAAAGAGACCATCCTCGGGGGCTCGAGGGCCCATCGAGGATATCGAGCCGGCAAGAAATGGCCCAAGGCTGCCCTAGGGGTCGATCCTCGCTAGCTATGACTGCTTAGAGTGGTGGAGAAGTGACCTCATCAGCTTGCGACCCAGGGACTACGACAGCTCCGCCACAAGCAAATGCTCGAGGGCTCGACGCGCTTTGAGCTATGGCAACCAGATCGTGGACGGCTTCCGTTACATCGGTCAGTCACATCCCCATTGACTTTAGCCTCACTACCCAAACATGTCCACATACAAATATAGGCTAATCAAAAGCCACGAAAACCTAGGATCGACCCGTAGAGCGAAACCTGATAGCATGACTCCCATACAACATGTCCTAGTAGCACTCAACTCCCGA